AAAAGAAAAAATACCATCGAAAGACAGTAAGTTCCCCTCAGACATACATTTATTTAAACGCCTACCCCTAACTGAATTGCGATTTGTTTAGCATCTCAACCGATTTGAATCGTCACATATTTAAATCGATTTTCAAGCGGCTGGCGGTTAATCGTTACATCCCTACTCTTTACCTTGGGATATGAAGATCTAAACATCTCTAGTTGTCATTGTGAGCCTTTAGGAATCAGAATGGGATAAATACGCCAAAAAATACGAGTAAATGTGGACGGATACAGCGAGAGTCCTGCGTTAAATTAAACACCTTCGACACTTTGCACCTCTTTCTCTGTGGCTCTCGGTGCGGCTGCTCTCATAAATTTATGAAGCTTGTAAGTGTGCTACAAATCATATCATAGCGCAGGAATTGCAGCACGCTCATGTTTCCATGGAAACACCACCAGCACAGCTCCGAGGCGCGGAGGGAGAGATGTGATGGCCTGCATACGGTCACACAGAAATCACAGGCATTACTCACCTCACAGGGTTTGAGCGTAACAATAACCCACAGAGACAGTGCTGTGTGTGTGCTGATGTGAATGTACAGTCAGATGATCATTATCATAATATAAACCACAACAGCATGAACATATCATCACATCGCAGTACTGTAATGTGCATGTCAGGGTTTCACAATCATGCAAAATGTGCAATTTTTAAATTGTGACTTTTTCCAGTTCTGGAAAAGTCATACATTTTCTGTAGTCAATATATATGTAATATTTTATATATTTCAGCTGAAAAATGTTTCATCATCTGTATATGAATGTATTGTCCATTAAATGATTTTAAGTAAATAGTAAAGTTTCCGAAATCCCAGATATAAAGTTTAAAAAAGTTTAGGTGGATAAATAATTACAATAAAATTATAATACAATTATAGTCAAATAAAAAGTAATAAATAACTCCATGTATTAAAATGTTTTATTTAATATGTTAATACACAGTGTCACACATTTTAAAATAAATGTATAATAAATAAATATTAGATGAAAAGCTTAAACTTAAAAACTCTTTAAAAATAAATAAAGGTTCTCTTGGTAACTAATATAGTTGAAGTGCTAAACCTAATAAAACTAAAATAATAAAAAAATATTATTTGATTATACATTTGTATTACAAATATTATTATTAAATTAATAAAATTATTAGTAAATTAAAGCTAAATAGAAATATTAAATCTAATAAAGACAAAAAGCACATAACGAAACACATAAATAAACTTTAGGGTTATTGGTTAGTTTATTTAGTTAGTTATACATTCCGTCAATATACTTTTCAATCATTTTGATTTGTCTTTCTATCCAGTAATCACAAACTGAAAATGTAATTGATATTAATTAGTTAAAAGATGTGGAAACCCTGTATATACTGCTGTTTTATACTATCATAGTATTTACTTTCCAATGTACTTCAAAGGAGACATATTATGCCCCTTTTTATAATATGTAATATAAGTCTCTGGTGTCCCCAGAATGTG